CTTTGCAGGATCAAACTAACAAAAAAAAAAATAGATAAGATGGCACTATTATACTGATACAACTGACCACGATTGGGCGGATCCTAATAAGGACTAGGGTGGGCCTAGGCCCACACTGAAAAAAAATTACTACCTTATATATATATTTAAAAATAGTTTAATGCTTAATTAATAAAATAAATAAATAAAATAAAAACAATGGAAACACAAAGAAGGGAAAAAAAGAATGGAAAAAAACATTGTTCTTGTTTATTTTGGTGAAAGTGAATCTAGTCCTTTTTTTAATTAAATTTGATATAAAAATTAAAAATTTAAACTTGTAGTTAATTTAATGTTATTTCTTAAAAGACAACATATTTAAATTTGTATGTGAATGATAAATTGTACGGCTCTTAGAAGTTTGATATATTAGATAAAATATTTTACACATTATGATTTATTTTTGTCTATCCATTTTTGGAGAAATATTCTTATAAATAGTCTTGACAAAATAGTACATGTGAAAATATTTCAAAATTAACTACTTTTATTCCAAATATACTTGAGGTGAATCATAATATTGTTAGACCGAAAAAAAAATGTAATAACCTTATTGTAGAGTCGTACCAAGCTATGAAAACTACTTTATTATGGGATATTACATTCTAGAAATAAGTAGGCCCCCACTGATATTATGATCTAGATCCGCCTGACCACGAACATCCTATTCAAGAACCCACCCAAATTCAACTAAGGATAGTTCAGATGACTGTCATATAAACTCATCAAAGGCAACGATTAAGTCGTCATACAGTCACCCAAATTCATCTAATGATAGTTCAGATGACCGCCATACAGTTACCCTTTTCGAAAATAAAAATAAAAAATTTAATTCTAATTTTTATAATTTTAGTATGAGAAGGCGGGGTGTTACAATTTTGATCGGATCCTGAATCTGGGTGGGTCAACGCGGATATATTTGTGTTTTTGAACAATTTTGAGAGTGAATTTGATGTTTATGAATGACTCGAATACAATTATTGATTGGTTTTTAGTTTATCTTATTTTTAGTTTATATTCATTTTTTTTCATTCTATTGTTTATTTATTTTTTTTAATGATTTAGTGAAAAATAGATAATAAATTTAAGATAAATCAAAAGTCAAATTAGTTTTAAATAAATTTTAGAGATAATATAATAAAGTTAAAATAAACTGAAAGTAATCTAAAAGAGCTATTAAAGAAATGGTAATGCTAAGAAACCAACTGTTGGCTCCGTACAGTTGGCTCCTTAGCATTATTGATTGAAGACAATGACGTTGATTTAATCTAGAAAATACACTCAAGTAATTCTGAGAGTTAATTTTGATGTTTATATTCTATTACGATTACTGGATGGTTTTTCTTTTATTTTATTTTTAGTTTATATTCAATTGCTTTTTTTTTTTTTTTGCATTCGATTTTTTTGTTTATTTATTTTTTCGTGGTTTAGTAAAAAACACATAATAAACTTAAAATAAATAAAAAGTATCAAATTAATTTTAAATAAATTTTAGAGATACTGAATAAACTTAAAATAAACTAAAAATAATTTAAAATAATTATTGAAAAAAATGACATAGATTTAATATAGAAAAAGACACTCAAGAATTGAATTGGAATTGTATTCAAATGGTTATAGTTTTGGAGAAGTTTTTTCAAAGTAAAAATGTATCTCTTAGTCTTTCAAAAGTACACAAATTGAATTCAGTTTCTTGGGCCTCCCTCATTTCAGTCCACAAGTCTGAGTACGGTGCTCATTTCTTATCAACTTGCTACCATTTGATCATTTATACTACTTATTCAAAAACATGTTGTACAATTAAATAAAAAAATATCCTACACTTAATAATACGAAAATTTTCAAAAACATTACTTATCTTAATTAATAAAACAAACTTACTATAGTCTAAATTTTCAGTTACTAAATAAATGTTATTTCAAAGTTTAGTTTATATATACATTGCATGAATTGATAATAGATTGAATCTATTGATTATGAAAATATTTTTAAAATATTCTTTAGAAAAAAAGAGTATTCTAAAATTTTGCTAAAAATATCAAACATGATCATCTTTCTAAAATATATTAAAAATTAAAAATAAACTCTACATGATTGAAATTAAAAAATAAAGAAGCAATTAATACTACCGACTACGTTTAAGTTTGTTAAACATGAGTTGTTATTGAATAACTACCAAAAGAGAATGTTTCGTGAATAAACGAAGAAGATTTCGTGAATAAACAAATATTTTTATATGTATGAATTATTAATCTATAGTAAATTTATTTTATGTTGTTCAATATAAAATAATAATGGGTCGTGAAGTTATATTGGTAGTATTAAAAAATATAAAAGTTGATGAGAAAGAATGAGTTTGTGGATTACAGAAAAAATCACTGTTTGATTTGACAGTTACTGCAAAATGTATTTGAGAATGAGTTTTTGTAAAATATGTTTGAAAATAAGTTCTCCGTATAGAGGTGATCTAAGTGACACTCTTAGAGGATGATTGGATATAATAAATTTTGGTTTTGTTTAGATTTTTTTGTTTAGTTTGGTTAGTTTTATAAAAGTTTGTATGGTTAGTTGTTAGTGGGTATATTAAAATATTATTTAAAATAAAATGATTAAAGTTGATTTGATGTAAAGTAGGAAAGAGAAGATTTGAACTGATGGTTAGTTAAAATTATGTGAGCGGATGAATAGTGAATTAAAGTTGATGTGATGTGTAAGGATGATTGATTGATATTATTTAATTATATTGATAATATTGATGATAGTGAGGTTGAGTTAAAAAAGTGATTGAGTTAAAAATGTTTCGATTTGTTTGAGAAAATTTGTATCCAATCATGCTCTTACTAACCCGACAAGTTGGTTGAATTTATTTTTCTTATTTATTATTGCATTTTAAGATTATTCACAATCTAGATGGACAACTCAAATTTGTGTTTTAGTAAAAATAAAATAAAGGACTTTTATTGCAAAGCAAGAGGATAAATGAGACAAGAGTATATACAAACACTTGAAATGTTCTAGGGGATTGTGGTTCTCGTATATACAACAATTGAAAAAACTTTAAAAAACTATTGTCTGCAACTCTGCATAATCAGAAATGTGAGCATAGAGTTGGCTATGATACATTGATACTCATAAAAGACACCCTACACCTTATTTATAAATCCAAATAAAGATTATGAAATGGTTGTCGCTAAAGAAACGGGGACCGTCTTAGGATCTCATCACAAATATCCACAAATAGATGACCCGAATCAGGCTTGCCACTTCTGCACTGCAACAACCGCTTGTACTCACTTATAGAGTTGAATGTCCAGTGCATAGATTCCACTTTCATCCTTACATTGCCAGCGGTTTTATTAAAGGTCCCGTCCTTGAACTTGAAATACCAATCTTCCGCACATGTTTCTTCTTCTTGGAAGCTAAACAATAGTTCACGTGCCCCTACAAGTTTATCAACCCGCACCACAACATCTGTTTTAAGGTCATCTACTGCTGTTAGCCATGGAAAAATGTGCTCATGCGAAACTTTTTCTAAAGCCTTCCCACCTTCACCCTGCCAAAAACAAAAAAGAAAGTGACAGAGAGAAAAAAAAGATTAGCAAATCAATACACTCAACACCATGTCTGGGCGAACATGAAATATCTACTCACAAACTTTTGTAGAGCCTCATGGAATAAAAAATCTAGCACTTTTTCTTCTCAGAGGCATGCACAATGAGTCTTTTGTTTCCAAAGAGTTGGCAAACAATTTTCCTCAGAAGCACCCTCAGAACACTGAAGTAATTCGAAAACCTCTTGATAATAATAACTTTATCAACAGAATCTAACAGATCAGTGCCCAACAACTTTTTCGCCTACAAATTAAGAAAAAAAGGAAATCAGTGAGAACATGATCTAATTAATTCCTTTCATTCTTTTTCTTACAAATAAATAAATTAAGAGATCAAAAGACATTTATTTTGTACCTCGGCAAGCGCTCTTTCGGGACCACTGCCTTTTAAAACGCAATCGTGAGTCGTACGGAATATATACGGATTGCTCAAGAACTGGTTCCAAGTATCTTCGTTTCGGTTATGGCACACACATCGCAAATCAAGCTGATCGGACCCTACACCTGACGTCATGAAGATGACCGAATTAGAGAACTCGACAACATCACTTGACTGAGCTTCACCGCGCATAAGCTCGAGGAGAACCCTCATAATAGAAGGAGAGGTCTTCTCGATCTTGTCTATAACAATCACCAAGTAAGGACGTCTCGCCACAACTCCTGTAAGGCGGCCCCAAAAGTCCTCATGCTTCTCCGTCGAACTAAACAGACAGAAAAATAAAAACTGTGGTCAACAATAGCATAGAGACCCCCAAATGAAATGAAGTTTTTCAAAGTTTATATAGCAAAATACTATTCGACTGTTTCCTCTGCATCATAATCTGATAAGTCAATCTCCACAAGCCTGCTCGCATCACAGTACCAATACTCGGCAACGGCCCTGGCAATATCCGTCTTACCGGTTCCCGTGGAGCCCAGTAAGAGAAAAGAACCCCTCGAGAGGTTATTACTGGCTCGACTCGACTTGTGGAGACTAATGTTGCGTAAATTTCATGAATCATGTTGTTTTGTTCCAACAGACCCCGACACGTCATATAAATTGCCTTCTTCTGGTGGTCAATAGACGGCAGAATTACAGTAGGCGGAACATCAGTCAGAGTGCTCACCACCTAGCAAAAAAGAAAAAGAAATAATAGAATCAGGACAAAGTAAATGTTTGGTAAGGATGAGCGTAAGATACGGATATATCCACAGACAAATTAACCTGAGCAACATCAACTTGACTGACTGTTAAGTGACGCTCGAAAGCATAAATCAGTTCGTCTTGAATCATGTCCAGGAACTTAGCAATTCTACGACTAGACCGATGTGAATAAGCATTTTTCCTTAAAATATTAATGTTCTTAGCACAATCTGAGAACAAGACGCCAAAACCTTTAGGTGGTGGTGACTCCAGAACAACCTCCCATCTAGTTAAAAACTCGCCCATGAAAATCGAGGCCGAATCACGGTCCCACCTCAAACGATCCACCCATGACTTGGAATACCAATGGGTTTTATTGAACAGTTCGACTATTTCAACAAGGGCCCAACGCAGTCGGTATGAGTTATCGTAGAAATCACGCTCATACGCACAATTTTGAATCTCTCAACCACCAGCTTACATGCTCGGGCCAAAAATTCTATGGGCTTCCAAGGATGGGCTTCATCTGTCATCAGTCATCACAAAACAAAATTAGTGTTGCCATATGAATTGAGCAGTGGTCAGTGTCATCATCACGCGACAATATCTATTCTCCGGTGAAGTAAAAATACTAAATTTGATTCAAATCAGAACCGAGAACAAATAGAAACGCACAATAACTGGCTTACAACAAGAAATTGCCCGAAAAAAATCAAATTCTAAATTCATAGTAAGCACATTAGAAAAGCGAACGAATCAGAAATTAGTAAATAATAACTGGCTAACCAGAGATGATTTGGGGGTGGAAGGTCTTGAGGCCATCAACGGCGAACTCAAAAGCGGCGCTAGAAATTCGAACGCAGAATCTGTTCTCAAGCTTTCGTCTTTCAGCATTTTCATCTCTCGGCGCCTTCGCTTTCTTCGCCATTGATCCTGGAAGCCCTGTGCTTTACGTCTGTGTTTTTACTTTTTAGGGTCTTTTCTAGTATTTTTATGGTTGTTCGACTTTTTTCTCAACTTCTCAAGTTTTTATTATTCGTGCAAATTCAATCCTAATGTAGTTAGGGATAAATCTTACAATAAAACTTTATTCTTCTCATATAAAATCCGTATGTAATTGTTTCCCTTTTGTTCAAACAAAAAAATATATTTTCATGGTAAAGAGTAAAAATAATACTAGCTTAGCTTAAATAAATAGACAAATTAGATTGAGTTTTACGAAATTAATATAAACAAGCAAAGTTCCACTTATTTAGTGAATGCAGAGGTGGCCACCGGCCACCCGAACAGGGCCCGGTCAAGCCTGTTGACCAAGGTCCGAGTCGGATCAAATTTTTACTGGGCCGATCTAGGATCTTGTTTTTTTGGTCGTCGACCCGTCTGGTCGGGTTCGGTCCGACACGGGAAAAAACATGTTTTTTTATTTTTTTCTCTCTTTTTTTTTTTAATGCGGATGGGCTTAGACATGGGTCGGGTCCAACCTAGGGGTGCCGGTTCAAAATTCATGATTCCCAATCCGTCGGTCCGCAAGGGCTAGGCCCGGCCCGTGTTTTGGTCATGTCTAAGTGAATGACCTTAAGCTTCAATTAAAATTATTTTTTTTGAAATTATTATAACTCTAATTTAGGAATCAGTGTGCACCATTTTCTAACTTTTCAATTTACAAGAATTGATTAAGAAATTTTAGATGTCGTGTGTTGGCCACCACCGGATTGTGCTCTCTGGCTCCCGTCAAATCAGGGTTCCCTCGATTGGGTAGCGTCTCACCATTCTGAAATTGGATGGCTATGCAAATCTCAAGGACAATTTCAATATTTTTGTGGTATGGAAGGACGGCTTGTTCCGGTTATTGCCTTGTGGTAGTCGGAGTCGAGGTTGACTTCTTCTACCCCTTGTTTTTCTGTCTTTCCTGGTATTGGGCGGTGTGTCGCGCCGGTGGGTGTGGCCGTGGCTCCGGTGGCTTGTCGGCTTGTGGCTTCCGGTTGGTGTGGGGGTTGGAGTTGGGGCCAGCTTCCAGTTTCGAGTCAGGGGATCTTCTACTTGGGAGAATGGTAGGGTCCGTGGATTTTGGGACGACTACTTAGACATAATTTTGCTATAGTTTTTGGATCTGCGACTTATTTCGTATCTCTGCCTATGAGGGCGGTTGCCCTCAAGGGTCTTTTGCATATATATTTTTAAATTAATTTATATATAATTAATATTGATATATATTAAATATCTATCATTATATTTATCATTATATATATAAAAAAAGAATATTAATTCTATAAGTGTCATAATAATGAAATTATATGACAATAAATTTTTGAAGAAAAAAATATTTCTGCATTATGATAAACCAAAATATATAAAAGTATTATTTTTTATGTATTAAAAAATAAATATATATGTTATAATATTATTTATATTAATATAAACGAGTCAGCGGGCTGATATATTATTAAAATAAAGTTTTGAAAAATATTTTAAAGTATGAAAATCCCGTATAATGCACGGGATTCTCACTAATTTATTTAATAAAGCATAACAATATTGTTTATATCATAAAATTGTATCAAAGTATCACAAAAATGTATATAGGCATCATAAAAAATTCCTATTCAGTTGGATAGATCTTTATAAAACTGTTTAAAGGCATCGTATTTTAAAATCTTCCTCTATCTTATAATAAAACCATATTGCCCCTTTACTGCCCGCCACGTGGCACCCCTCACAAGCCTCCATTTTGTTCTAAACGGCGACGTTTTGAGTGGTTTAATTGCTACCATTTTTTGACTGAATTACCCTCAATTTAACACTCACTTTTGACTACTCTTAGAGGTTATTTTCGTCATCTGGTAACAGGCGGATTTTACGCCACACGCAATTTGATTTTTTCTTGCAATCTACATCAATCATGCTCGAGTCTCGAGAAAACCATCTTCTCAAATTTCCCATACCCTAAACTGAGTAGCATGAGCATCCCCTTCATCTCTTCTTGCCGCACAGTGGCTCCGATGGAGTTCTATCAGACTATCTTTATCACCAACTCAACCCAATAATAAAAAATTATTTCTCCCCTCCACATACACAACCCAACTTTTAACAACGTGACATATCTTTATCTCTAACCCAACCCAACCCAATCCAACCCAACATACTATTTCTTTTATTTTTATTTATTAAATATTATCTACAATAGATTTTTTGTTATTGTTTTAGTTGTGATATATTAATTAAAAAATTTATAATTAAAAATATTGATTTAAAAAAATTAATATTTTAAAATACAACTAAAAAAAAGATTACAAACATAATTAAAAGTTGAAATTACATAATTCAATATGAAATAAACTAAACAAGTTACAAACATTGCAAATGAAATTATACATCAACTACCATTGCCAAATTTTTCTCATATGTGCTCAATCAAGTCATTTTTCAAAGTCACGTGAGCTTCTCTATTAGAAAAATAAAAAAGATGATAAAATTAATAAGGTATGATTAAGAAAAGGATGAAAAGAGAGAAATTTCAGTTGTGATCTAAAACATATCAAGAGTGGTCTCTATTTATAGAGAATGAAAAAATCCGAATTTTGATAATTTTTTTTAATATATAATAAACTCAATTATTGAGTTTATCTTATCTTATCAAAATAAAATTATGGGCTCCAATTATAAAGGGACATGTGTCCCACACCTTATCTAAAAACCCACCATTAATTGAAGAAAAAAAAACTAAAAAAACTCCTTGCGCCCGGTTGCGACCCAAGGTCACCATGTGACCTGGGTTCGCGAATTATCCTCTATTTTACGTTTTTTAATTTTTTTTTTTTTTTTTTTT